CGCCTACTAATCAGAGTGCCTGGACCATTTTTAAGAACTAGGATTTGGTAGCCCGGAGGTCATTCACAATCCGCTTTTATCAAAAATTGTTTGTAAAAACTTTCTGGAATGGCTGTGGCACCCAAATAAATCTTCTGAGTTCTCCGTATAAGGTACTGTAGTGACGGAGGGAGGGAGGAAGACAAGCGTGCTTGCTAACGGGCCCTTTCTGCCCATTATACTTTGCAAACAGAGTGCATGTCTGAAGCCATCACTGCCGAAGCCATCCTTGACCCCCTGTTCCTGGTGTCTTACACCGATACCAAGCAGTTTGACGCATGCTTGAGTAACGAGGTTTTGAAAGACAACCTGGTCCCTTTGCTGGATCAGCCCCTCACCGAGGAGCAGCTCGATGTCCTAAAGCGGAAATTTGGCGAGGTAATGATAAACATCATGGGATAAAACGGTGCTGTGCCGCTGAGGGCCAAGATGGCCTGGGTCCTTCTCAGACGTGGGTGAACACGTGTTGCAGGGAAGGGTTTCTGACCTCAGCTCTGCACAGGGTTGCCAAGTGTTTGAATCTCTTCTGGGAGGTATCCAAAACACCAACATGCCCGCGACACACGATGCTCGCGTGTTTGCACTTATCGGTTATGAATTATAGTCATGCACATTGCTGCGAGATTTTCAAAACCCACTGGACTACTGTATAAATCGGGTGCAACATTTAATATTTATTTTAATGAATGCCCTATCATTTATCTCCTGCGTGACTCTCAGCAGTCTCCTGGAGATTTAGATCTAATTCCTGGAGGCTCCAGGGCAATTCGTGAGGGTCGGCAACCCAGTGCACGCTGCAAGAGAGTTGCCTTGCAATGCGATACTCCTTTCTGCATTGGGAAATGCTGCAGCTGAGGTCAGGTGCTGGCTGGGAGAGCCGGAGGAGCAGCTCACACCATCCTGTGCATAGGCGCACTTACTTCTCGGGGCTGCTCCCTGAGGGCCAAGCCTTTGCTGCAAAGACAATAACGGGATTTGCTCACCCTCCCCCCCAAAGCACTCGCGCTGTCGCATGGTTTGAGCGATCCCAAAAGCCATCAGGGAGGTGACGCAGAGCCAATTCGAGAGCAGAGCGTCTGAGTTGGGATCGGGATGGTTTGAATGGGTAAAGATCCGTCTCCCACGCCTGCGTTCAGCGTGCGGGATGCACCGTGGCTAGAGGTAGACGAGAGATGCTCTCATGTAAAAACTTGCCATGAAAAGCCAAGTCAGTGATACGACAGAGGGACAAGCAATGTGGAGGAGGCAGCAGGGCAGCAGTGATTATAAAAAGGGGGTTGAAGCCAAAGGGTATTGTATCCTGTGAGAGCAGACAAGCAATCACCACTTTGCTCCAGCTGGAATTAACCTCGTGCTCCTCGTTATTGCTCTCGATATCCCCGTCTATCGTGAATCCAGCCGTCAAGCCCATTCATCGATTCCTCTGCCACTAATGACTCAGTCTGGCCCTTTCAGATTTACCCCGATGGGATCCCGGAGGACCAGCTAAAGCTCTTCGGCTTGTTATCGCGCCGCTACACCGTGAGCGAGATCAGCAAGTGGACAGTGACGTCCAGTGAAACCCTCATGGCCCTGCTGGACCCGGAGGCCGGGAGCTGGAGGGAAGCCGAGGTAATTGTGCTGGCGGGAGCTAACGAAGGGATAGCGGCAGTAGGTCAGCACTTTGTGATCCCATGACCAGTAGAGATGAGGGGAGTGAGCAGGGCTAAATGACGGAAGGCCATTACAGGGTGGGGTATTCGGTGCCGGCAGAGGTGCGATCTCTCACCTGGGGATTTTCTGCTAGCCACTGCCCTACAGCAATTCAGATACCGCCCCCCACAATGAGCACAGCCCAAACATCGAACAACACTGCCCCTAAATACATTAACTGCCTTTCATTCTGCTTCCTAGGTCAAACAACTGGTCGCCAGATACATGGACCTGGGTGGTAACTTAACGGGACCCTTGCTCCAGCAAATCGGGGGCGAAGCACTGTGCGACCTGTCTGATGAGCAGATTAAAAGAATAAGCCCAGAAGCAATCGGGTAAACCGCCTTTACAAAGGGAAGGGGTGCTTATATGTCACGAGTCAATGGTTAGAGCAGTGCTGGGCAGGTCTCCGCGCACTGCACCCCTCCTGGAAGTGGAAGCTAGTGCCGCAGGGGAGAAATATTTCAAGTTATTTTAGGGGGGCGAGTTTCCTGGAAAACAGCCGCTCCGAAGTGACCTTGGGGAAGCAATTAAATGCATGTTTGTAGTGTGAGGAGGCAGCAGGAGAAGCCAATGCAATTTAAGGCTGCGCAGAATCATTGCTTTGCAGAGGTCAGGCTCAGCCACGCCGGGAGAAGCCCATGGATAATATCCTAGGATGCACGGGGCCACTTGGCTTGCAACGTTTAGGGCTAGGATGTGAATCCCCCATTCATTTAGCAGTGGAGCTTGGGAGCATTCAATTCAGTCTTCCCAAGATTGGGCTTTTGTGTCCCTGTGGATTTCTAATTGCTTCCTGTTCCTCTAGGAGCGCTGGAAAATTAGACATTTCTTCCTGTTCACAAGCCAAGAAAGACCAGCTCTATGCCAAAGCCCGTGATGCATTTGCTAGCCAGAAAGGAACCAGTGCTTATTACCCTTTAATCCAACCCTATCTAGGTAGGTATTTAAACTTTTGCCCTTCTTGGGCTCCAGTGTGGTGGGTGCAGTGCCAGTACCCGGTGACCCTCCGACAGCAAAAGCTGGTGTTTGCTGCTTGGAAAAGGAGGTTGCATTTTTACATTTATAAATACTTTATTTTTATGAAGGTGGGGCTCCAGTGAAGGACCTGGAAGACCTGGCCAAATCTGACGTTGCCATGGATATCAACACCTTTACTGCCTTAAATCCTGACGAGCTGCAGGTACATTACCAAAGAGGTTGGACTCTTTTCATCAGCAGCATTAGGTGCTCCAGAACGATTGCTACAGGAGGTAGCAGACACACCTTGATGTCAGTGGCAGGTCCATCCACGGGAGACTGCAGAGGAGCAGATGCAGTGAGGGATTAGCACTGAGGGGTCATCTGTATTATTATTTGTTTTTATGACTATTGCATCTTAGCCGCAAGCAAAATACTTTGCAAGTTTTCTGTCCCGTGGAAGCTGCGAACTGAGTAGACAGGGAAGGCAAAATCCATCGGGAAAAGGCTGAACAAGTAGGCTAGCATGCAGTAGTTTTGGGGTCACTGCTGGGTCAGGATTGGTTGGGTAGGATTTGCAATTCCGTATTTTTAATAGAGTTTTTTTTAAAGGAAGTTATTACCCTGTCAGTAATCGCATTAGGAAGATAAGCCTCTGGTAGCATCAGCTGGTGGTGAAGGTGAACAACAATGTCATGACTGTGTTGCAGAAACTCAGCATCCAGGACGTGAAGAATTTGCTGGGTGTAAACCTTCCCTCTCTAAAGCAAGCTGAAAATCATCCAGCCGTGGCCAACTGGACCAAGACTCAGTACCAGTCAGCCCTGGACAGGATCCTGGGAATTGGTCTGCAGGGTGGGATGCCAGATCCAATCTCAGCAGCAACAAGCATCCCTAGTATTTTAATCCCTAATGACACCACTACCCCACCAGCTACCTCCTTCAATACCACTGCCCCAACCGCTACCACCCCCAGCACCAGTGTCTCAAGAGCAGTCATCAACCCCACGGCCTTCATCCATAACGCCACCACCCCGCCTCCTGCTAGCAACCAAACTCTTACTGCCCCCAGCACCACCCCAGCTACTACCACCATCCCCGACACCAACACCCCAACTGCCATGATCAACCAAACTGCCAGCACCCCCAAGACGACCACACCAGCTGCTGTTATCAACCAAACAGCCAACACCCCCACGCCAACAGCCATTATGCACCACTCCATCAACACCACCACCCCAGCTGCCAACACCCGCAACCCCACCACGACTGCTATTATTGACCATGCTGCCAACATCACCACTCCAAATCTGGTCATCAGTGAAGCGGTCACTGCCTCTAACACCACCTCTGTTACTGCAACTGCTGTGAACACCCCCAGTGCCACCATCCCAAGTGCCGTTGCCTCTAATGTCACCACCTTGACCCCCAACACCACCACTCCTGGTGCCCACATTGCTAACATCACTTCTAACACTATCACTGCAGCTCCTGTTGATACTACTGCCATCACCCACAACACATCTACCCATCACCCGTCACCCATCATGCCCACTTCCCCCACAACCACCTCAAATGTCACCGCTCCACTTCCCATTATCTTCACATTCACTACTAGCACCACACCATTGACTGTCAAGGGAACCATTACCTCAACAGTGGCCAGTCCCACCACCCCTAGAAACACTGCCCACCCCCCAACAACTGCCATGACATCTGCCACAACCACGGTCACCACCCCAAGGCCCAATAAGACAACGTCAACCAAGACAACACAGCCAACAAAGCCAACACCCGTGGGATTCATCAATCTTAAACCGGTAACGAGTACGTATCTGTAAAAGGCACTAAACATCTTAAGAACAGCCCTGGGGGTAATATATTCAAGGATGAGCACTAGTCTTTTGAGACTCTTGATGGCCAGAAGCAGGATGGACATCCTGTTATTAGGAAAGGAGTCTGTTACAGGTGATAAACCAGTGCCAGGTATAATCTTGTTGGGTTTTAATTGTGCCCTCAATCAACACCTACCAAACACCTTCCATACTGGCCATGGAGCAGTCTCAGACGATATTAGTAACTGTACATGGGTAGATATTCAGGGTGGGTGGGAGGAAGACCTGAGAACTGAAATGGAAAGTGCTGTGACTTTTGCAGGACAATGAGCATTTTATGGCCTTGAAGGAGGCTGTTCAAATGCAGGCAGGTGAAGCATACCTGCTTGCATTTGAAGGATGCTGTTCAAATGCAGCATACTTCACCTGCCTGCATTTGAACAGCCTCCTTCAAGGCCATAAAATGATCTCTTGTCCTTTAATATAAGAGGGCACCTCCTCTCTCAGTCTTAGATGCTGCATTAAATTCATGGATTTGGTTCTCTTTTCCTCAAGTATATACAAGAGGAGGATCCATCTCTCAGTTCAGTATAGCTCATAGATGGTCTGTAACTGGGTGGGCAGTGCTGTGGATGAGCAGGCAAGAATAGGGACCAAAGGCCACTGTTTCCCTATGTGTCTTCAGAAATGTCTGAAACCCATGACCACACTGTTGCCCTAACGGCCCATTTGGGAGCTCAGGTGCTACCACATTGATCGCATGGATAACCCAAACCTTTCTGCTTTGTATTCTTTCCTTCCAGCATCAAGAGCGAACCTGTCTTTCAGCCTGCTGCACATGCTGTCCTTGACTGTTGGGATCTTCTTGCTGAGAAGGTTTCTCTAATGCCACCAGCACATACATGGCCTTTACAGTATTCCTCCTCTCATTTTTCACTTGCCCCCAAATGGCTGAGATGCAGGCATCATATTCCCTCCCAGGTAGCAGAGACCCCACTTTGCAGCACATGTGGGAGCTACATGAAGCTGCTAGGACCACGTTCCCTGGAGGCAGTGCAATGATCCTGGTGGGACAATTAGATATTAAGATGTCACTACTGTTGCTCAGACTTTTAGAATAAGTTTCTCATTCAAAGGACAGAGCTGTACGCAAGGACCTGGAGCGGCAGCTGCAAACTACTTTGGATGTACATGCTTCAGGAGCATTTGCTCTGTCCCTCCGATGGATTCAAACAGCTTTCTCTCAGCAGAAGGCCTAAGCTAAATCCTCCCTAAGGAGCAGTGTCTGCCCGTGCATCCATTCAGTATAGTAAAATCCAAATGATCCATGGGGTTAGGCGCCTCCATACCTACTATGATGAGAGCGTGCAAACCAACTGGGCCTCCAAACAGCTGTGGAGGTCCACCAACATGCCTCTAATGACCAAAAAAGTAGTATCCTTGGCAGGAGAATCTGTTGAAATGGCTGCATGACTGAGGTCTAATGCCCCCATTACAACCAACACTTTCTTGGGTCTTTTATCGCCTGGGGACCAGTGCCATGCTATGGATAATTGGCCCTTATTCACATTCCAGATTCAGTTCCAAAATACTTCCAGCCCGTGACACCTGAAAATACACGGCACCTCCATATGATCAAAAAATGATGAAGAGCCATTAGTAGTACCATCGTTTGATTTGGTGGTGACAGTAGACCCAATTCTGCCCCACATAGGCCCATCAAGTAGTACCATACTCGTTACCAGCCCCAGTGGATTCATCTCAGCTGAACTTGGTTTCACTGCCAGGGTTTAAAGGTATCGATTGCTGTTGGAGGATCAGAGTTTGGTCCGCTCTTCTTGAGTCGTGTAGTGTAGCTGGCGGTAGGTTCCTCTAGAAATCTGGTTGCTGCCTTCACCCTGCTTTACTTTGGTTGTAGGAGAGGTCTCCAGATTGAGATTTGTTCCAGCCATGCCAAAGTCATTTATGGAAAACAGGGTATGTGGGTCATCACGCTAATGCTACATAACGAACATCAAAGTCTTTTTATTTTCCCCAGATGGTCGTTGGTGCGTATAGTTCTGTCTTTCTGTCTGTTTGAATAAAATACAACAGTTCCTCTCCTTTCTTGTTTCCATTTTTTGCACCTCTTCGGAAGTGCCTATGCACAAGACGTGCCCGTGCACAAGTTGTGGAGCTGGGGACAAGGACCACTTCCTGCAAGGTGGAGGTTTCCACTCTAGCTCCTCTACAGTCCTTGAGGACGTGTCCTGGTGGACTCTCCGAAGCATGCCCCTGCCATCCCCTCCCTCTTCCCGCTCCAAACCTGGAGACACCAAAGACCATGCTCCAAAACGACTCCTCTGTGGTCACTCTCAAGGTCTCACGATTCCTGAGAAAAGCCGCAGGGGATTAACTAATGTTTAGTAGTTCACAACTTTTTCCTCTGTTTACTCAGCAGGGTAAGAGTGAGCTTTAAGCCAGCATAAAGGTTTTCTTTGTAATCAGGTTTTCCCCTTGACAAGACATGTTTCACTGGTCTGATCCGGACCGGTCTCGGCACGTTACGCGTAGTCATTGTAGAGCTCCGATTCTGCCTCGGAAACAAAGAACGGAGCTGAACTTTCACCCAAAATTGAACCCAATTTAAAACCCCGTGAACGTTCAAGAGCATCTTAGAGATAGGCTTTCCGGCTGCTTATTTCAACGTTGACTATTTCCCGGTCATAAAAAAGTGGTGTCAAATCCAGCTGTGGTTGAAAGACGAAGTAAAACATCAATGCATCTGTTCAGGTGTGTTTAGCAGAAGTTCTTGACTGTGTCAAAAAACTAAGCGCTGGGGTGACTGACTCATTGAGGGTAACGAACCATCCCTTTTTCATGATGTGCAAAACATATGACTTGGAGAGAGCATTATTCCCCACCCACGAGAGGCCAGACCTGGGCAGTCCTGTTTGACAAGTAAAACCCAAGAGAAGAACAACAGACATGTCCGGGACTCCCAAACATTTATTTTGACAAAACCTCACAGACAATATAGGGCCTGAACCGATACTTCACTGAACTGAGGAAAGTACTATTGAGCCTTCATTCTCGTTGCCGTTGTTTCTGACTCCGTTCTCTCTCTTTCCAAACCAGCTAGCAATCTCCATTCTCAGTCCTTGCACGTGCAGAAACATGAGGCTTTTCAGTCAATTAATTCTGAAACGTGCATGATACCAGTACAAAACCAGTCTACCCTACAACCTACCCTACTACGGTCTACCCTACAAACATGCATGATACCCCCAAAACCAGTCTACCCTACAACTGCCTCATCTGCTAAGAAAATAGCATTCAATAAAAGTGTATTATTGATCATGGAATCAGAGCTCGTGGCAGAGGTAATATCTTTTATTAGACCAACTAGAGATTTGCAAAAAAACAATTATTTGCAAGCTTTCGGGCACTGCAGTAACATGTCTGGGACACGCTTCCGGGCCAAGGGCTCAGTTGTGAGAGAAGCTGTACAAACAGAATAGCTACGATGGTACTTGTCCTTTTGGAAGAGCTTTCAATCTTGTTTTCAGACTTTATCTAGTGAGTAAACCAATAGCGCCAGAAAGGAACACTTCATAACCACGTTGTTGCCTGTTGGCATAGCATTTCTCCATCCTCCTGTGTCAGGCCATGGAGAAGTCAAGCGATGGTTCCCACAGCCTTCCTTTGCTTGGGGTAGGGGTCAGGGTTTATGATAGGAGCAAAGTCAGCAGATAACTTAGGAGCAGCACGGCTAGGAGGTGGAGGGCATTGCCATGGGCGTTGGCACTGGCATTCATAGAGCCTGGTGATGTTGCTAGAGAGACAAGAAACAGAGCTGATGAGGAACTGAAAACTCCTCGACCTTACTGTTTACTGTCCTCTCCTGTAGCATCTAAGGGAGATCCTGGAGTCTCTCACCGAGACTCATCCCAAACCATCCATCCCAGGCTGCACCCAAGATGCTGGGATGCAATGCTTTGGAAGTGATGGGTCATTTCTGTTGAGAGCTCTGGCCAGCAGGATGGTTTTCAGCAACGCTGTCAAGTTACTGACCATGCCAATGCTTGCCCTTTATTCGGTGGACCGAAACCCTGGGAAGCGATGGCGCTGCACTCTGCATCCAGATGCTCTTTACAGACGTGCGCTCGTGGAAGTCGTAACTTTTCCCTCTAAACTTTCCAATAGGAAACCCTCATTATTTGCTCCCTTCTTTTTCAGACAGAGGACAGGTATAAGCCCAATCAGAGGAAAACAAAGGCTGCATAAACATACGTTTGGACTGGGGTGTAACAAGGATGTAGCCATCTGGAATCCCCCCGGTGAGCCCCAGGCCCAGCTTATCCAAGTCTGGCTGTTTCTGCAGGCTGATCCATTCCTTTATGAGCGAAGAAGTGTACTGTGCATCCTTCAGATCTTTCAGATTTACTCCCAGCAGGCCCTTGACCTGGTCAGTGGTTAGAGCCTAGGGGAAATCAAGATAGCAATCTGAGCAACGAAGGTTACTATGACCCCTATTTCTCACCCAGCCCAAAGCCAGAAGACTGGGGATGCAACTTTTTGGGGCAGGCAATGGCATCTCTTGGAAGGAGCTGTTTGTATCATGCCCGAAAGGATTCCTGGACCCAACCCAGCTGCTTTTGCAGCTACGTAGCCTGATTTTGAGGCATCCTTTGGTAAGTGTAAATAAGCATCCAAAATGAGGGTTCAAACTGTGGCAGAAGGGAACCGCAGCCCGAGCTGGCTATGATGTCTCTGGAGTTTGGTGCAACGACTCCTGATTTATGCCAGCGTTAATGGCATCCAGCAGGTCACAGATGTGATGAGGAGCCACCTTTTATGGCACAGCCAAACTCACCAGCACGGAGTCTCGTCTCAGTTTCACGAAGGTCCTGATATCCATGTTCACGCTGTTGTTGCTCAGAGCTCGCAAGTCCTCCGCAGGGGCACCACCTGGGGCAGGCAAGAACATGCATGCAGGGCAGAAGTCCTGCAACACACCCTGTAGGATCCCTATATTCCCTCTAACATCGGTGAAGTCACAATAGGCATCTACTTTTCCCATGATGCAGGGTACAAATAACTACCACTCTAAGGGGAAGGGAGTTTCCAGCCTGCATAGGACAATAAATACCTTATTAGCCCAGGTGGGTCAATCCTGGAATATCCCTACATGGCATATTCCCTACATGGCCTATCCGGCTTTCGTGCAACCAGCAGAGTTTTCCAATAGTGGGATGAGATGAGAACTTAGCATATAAAGTGCTTTGTAGTGATCGCCAAACTGAATACCATCAAATGGGTCTCTAGAACGAGCCTCTAGGGCAGGCTGCTAAAGGGATAAGGGGCTAAGCGCTTTGGGTTTACTGGTATTTCATACAAACATCTGGAGGATTTTGAATCAGGCAGACAGAGCCACTCCTGCCCCTCTTCCCCCTCCAGCAAGTGCTTTCCGAAATGCAGAGCTGGACCCTGCCAAACTTCAAGGAACTTCAAGGAACTTCAAAGATGCGAGTTCAGCCCAAGACCGGCCCGTCTCTACTGACAGCAATTGCTTTTCAGTGTGCCAATGCTTCTGCTTACCCAAGTATGGCTTGATAAGGCTGTAGTAAGCGGGGAACTCAGTACGCTTTTCCGAGAAAGCAAGTTTAGCTTTGGTGTACAAGATGTCTTTTGTAGGCTGAGAACAGTTTGAGGGGTCCAAAGAAGCCATTCTGCAGAAAAAAAATCAAGATGCAGGAAGACAAGAGCTGGCCACAACCATTTCTCTGAGCTTCTGTACGTAGCCCCTGCACCCCCACCATCCCTCCATCCCGCCAGGATGAGTAGCGGAGACGCTGAAAAGTTGAGTGACATCCCCAAAGAGCTGGGATTACAGGCCCTGACTCCCAGGCTTAACCACTAATGTAGGTTTTCTCACTGCTCCCTGCATTAGCTTTCAGCGGGCGATGTGCAGGAGCCGGGGTTGGCTGGATGGGAGAAGAAGCATGTAAGCGCCAAAGGAATAGTTCACTCACTCCAAGGTGCCGGGCTCTATCGTGTCCAGCTGCATCTCATCTAGAAGGCACACGTATCTCGTACCGACCGCATCCAGAGCAGGGGTGTTCAGGGGGTTTCCCAGGTCCGTGTACCGCTTGATTATTTCACGCGCCTACGAGTGCCGTTAGCAAAAAAAGAGATGCATCGCTTCCCCTTACGTGTCAAGAAAAATCTCACCCAACCCCAACCCCGACAACCAACACCCCAAGAAAAACCTCAAGCGCTTCCTGTCTCCAAGGGCAAAGCAAAATTCAAGCCCAAACATACAACCCAGCAAAATAAAGCAGGTTGATTAAGCGGAGGAGGATTAATAAAATAAGAGACTCCCAGTCGCAGCAGCAATCTCCCCCATCACTCATTGCTCACCTGCATATCCGGAGGCTCAGTGAGAAGCAAGGTGGCGAGCAGGTCTGCTGAGCTTATATTCCACTTCTTAGTATCGTTGATGGTGACCAAGGCGATGATGGCTCCGAGTTTGGGGAGTATCTTCTCAGGGTACCCGTCGGGATAGGCCTGCGGACAGTTTATTAGCTCACTCGGTTTGCCAAGATCGAATGGACGCCCCTCGCCGAACCCGTGAGGAACGACGGAGAAGGGCTCCGGAGACTCGGGAGCGACGTGACTACGCCCGGCCCCTCTCCCTGCAACCAGGCTTTACCTCGTCCAGCTTGTTCTTCAGCACAGACAGCTGCTCATCGGTGAAGGGGTAAGTCATCAGTCGAGTGAAATGCGTCTCTAGGATGGCAGTTGTCAGGCAGGCCTGTAAGTCCTGAGGACCATACAGAATAGGCATCAGCTCATCCATTGCCACGTCATCTGTGATTGTCTTGTCGGAGGGACAATCTGTTGGAGCAAAGATCATATGTCTCTGGCGGGAAAGGCCGTGGGCAGCAAATAAAGGCAGGGTGGTCACCCTGCCCGATCAGCTACCTCGGGTCTAGAGCTGACCCGTGCCATTCGGGCCCTGCAAGCATCAGCAAGGACGTTTGGAGTGGGGATTGCAACCCGTGTTAGCGAGAAAGGAGTTACGGC